TAGAAAACCATTTGCCGAAATGATACAGACTGATTTTGCTGTTATGTTTAACGTTTTTGCTTGCTGAAATGATACAGACTGTTACTACATATTGAAACTATTACTGATTTTTGATGGCTGTTTATATGAATGAGGTGATCATGATCCTGAGGTAGAAATGATACAGACTGTTTATATGAAACTATTACTGATTTTTGAAACAATTACTGATTTTTGATACAGACGGTTCATCTCAGAATCTTGTCAACAAATCTTAGAAAACATACAGACAAGGAATCTGAATAAAAAGAAAGTTCTTGAATTTGCTATTGCTGCAGTATAATGAACTTCACAGATATGATTAATTATTTGCATAAAACATGATACAAATCTATGGCTACTTTCATTATTTATGAAGAATTGAATATGTTTGTACTGTACTAGGGAGGGAGGAAAAGAGAGAAAAATTAGGCTTGCAAAAACAAAAAAAGAACAATACCAGATGATGAAGAAAGTTTTCTTTTATGTGACTGATACCTCTGTATCCTGAAGAACTTGATACCATCAGTTTCGTCCAACTTGAGTAAATTGACAAATAATATACCAACATGATAGATTTAAGAGGAATATAGGCAGAAAAACAAGACATAAAAAAGGGAAAAAGGTAGTGCTTCAATTGCAAAAACAAAAAAAGAACAATACCAGATGATGAAGAAAGTTTTCTTATATACTTTACAAAACATGATGCAGCACATCTAAACAACGATATTAATAAAAGATCATATACGTAACGATAAGTTTATCCAACAAATACAAGCTCAGCCACAAAATACATCACATGTTTTTTGCAATGGAGAAACCAACAAATATCGCAACGATACATACTAGAAATACTAATATTGTATACAATGAACCTAATACAAAAGCATAGTTAGAGAAAATAGAAGTTTCCCCAAGTTTTCCCTTGTCCACATCCAGATTATGGCTCACTGGATATCTATGTTCTTGAGCATAAATAGATGTTTGAACAGGCCTCGAGCTGGATGCTGAATCACGAGCGAGTGTGTGCTTCTCCCATTCCATCAAAGCCTCTTCGTATGTTGCATACCCTTTGTAGGAGGCATTTGGGAACTTATCTACCTGGGATTTGCATTCCTCCCAATTATTAAAAATACCACATTGTCGACCTCTCTTCACTACATAAAAACTTTTTCTAGCCATGTATAACCTGAAAATACCCCAAATTGGAGGGTAAACAAAATTTTTACAAATGATCAGGTAGCAAGCAAAGTTAAAAAAGTAATTATTTATCCTACGCACTGAATACTTTCAAATTAATACCCAATACCATTGTGCTCAATCAAACTTATTTATCCTACGCACTTGAACATAAAAACTCAAGTTTCTCGTAATTGGAAACTCAATTAATACCCAATACCATAAAGCTATCTACTTGTCACCTAATTGAGAAGCCTATTCTTAATTAGTTTTCCGTTTCTCTGATATTTGATTTCTACCAAAAACAAGAATACACTGGCATTTGAAAAACCACTGGCTTAGCTATTGTCTACCTTTCTTAAACATCACAAGCAAGAACTAATGCAGGTAATCCCCTTTCTTAAACATCACAAGCAAGAACAACAGCTAGCCCACAAGCAAGAACAATAGCTAGCCCACATTTAACATAGACATACAACTATAATTAGAGTACGTGCAAATATTTCAGACTGACTTGAACATAAAACATCACAAGAAAACTAACGAGGCCAGAGTTTTCAAATATGCTGAACTAATGCAAGTAATCCCCTTTCTTAAACATCACAAGCAAGTAATCCCATTTCAAACATCACAAGCAAGCAAGTAATGACAAGCAAGTTAATTTGGAAACTGAAGTACAAATAATAAGTCGGGGGCGTCGTGGTTACCTGAGTTGGGTGAGGTCGAGATCGAGCTCGAGGGAGTTGGGGATAGTGGGTGACGGTCGGCGGGGATGGACTTCGTCGTCGTCGTCGGTGGTCTCAGACGTCGGAATCGTGGCTCGACGGCGGGGATAGTGGGTCAGTGGGTCACGGTCGGCGGGGATGTACTTCTTCGTCGTCGGTGGTCTCCAACTTGACGGCGGTCGTCGGTGATTTGAGAGATCGTCGGCGTTGGAGGGGAGGTCGGATGGGATCTGGAGGAAGATTTGGGATTTTTTGGGAGAGAGAGAGAACGAATGGGTCACGAGAGGGAATTAAATCATCAACCATTTTGCAAAAGAGCCCCCGTGAGCTGGTCACGAGATTCGTTTCCGTCAGCGGAAACATTTTGCGAAAAAACCCAAAAACCACTCATTTACGCTCAATCCGTACGAACTGATCCGCAGGAGAAAGGCACTGATATATATATATAGATATATATATATATATATTATATATATAATATATAATATATATATATATATATAATATATATATATATATATATATACTATATATATATATATTGCATAATCCCTTAACTCATTCAAATGGTTGCCATATCCTCATGTACTCCTTAACTCATATAAATGTGATCCCCCGTTTGAATGAGTAGAGGAGGTTGTGTTACCTTACAACCCAAACACAAAAATTATATTTGGTACCAAGCATACCAATAATTCTTATAATAATATATATATATTATATATATATATATATATAATATATATATTATATATATATAATATATATATATATATATATATATATATATATATATATATATATGAGTATCATTGTCATAGGAGGAGAATTTCCTCCTGATGCCTATGTGGCACAATCTCCACCATCCTCATAAAGTAAAGAGAAAGTGAGTTGGTGGGGATTTGTGCCTACTTTATAATGATGGTGAGGGATTGTGTCACACAATAGGTGACCAAGGAGGAAAATCCCGCTCCTATGACAATGATACCAATTAATCTCATATATATATATATATATATATATATATATATATATATATATATATATATATATATATATGATAGAATGAGTATTATTTAGTTTCCAGGGAAAACCACCGTAAATGATAAAAAAATATAGCAAAATACTATAAAATGACCGGAAATATAAAAGATGATAAAAAAAATAAAAAGCATGGCGCACAACGAAATTAAGGTGATGACAAAAAAACGCTGATAACTAAACTAAGAAGCAACTATTTTAAGTTATTTTCTTATAATTTCAACACAAAGACTAGAATTATTTTCTTAAGACAAAATATTAGGTGATGAAAGAACAATTTCCAAAGGTAGTCGGATTAAAATCATAATCTTGATAGAAAAAAAAATTGCTCATACTTACTAAGGAAGTAGTATTTATTGTTAATATCCATTGTTAATGCTTGCATTAAAAAGGAAAAAAGCGAAGGAGTCGTTCTCTCTCCGCCAACTGAAATGGTGGTTTCAATGCGTTAACGTCGCTAGTATGAATACAAAAACATGTGTAGGGTTCACATGGGCCACATCATTAGGAAAAAAAACTATTTTAAAAAAGAAAAATCATTAGGAAAAATCCGTTCACTAGTATTAGATAATGTCTTTTCTCAAGAATAATTAGATAGTGGCTTGCCACAATTCCGCTCGCCAACATATTTTATTTACAATATGAGTAATACTAATAATTGATTAGTATGGTTCGAAAAAGCATACAAATTTTATTTACATTATGTGCTATGGGCATATTGGAAACCTAAAGAGTGTGTTTAGCAAACATTGAAAAACTACATCAGGAATAAACCTGACCTAAATTTAAGTGGTTTATTGTTTGGCAAATGAGAGGGCTAGAACTAGTCCAACTTTTTATAGCCCAAAATTTGCCATTAAATCGGCTTTTTTTTAGAGTTGTCCCGGCCCAGTTTTGTGTAGTTTGCTAAACACACCCTGGAAGAGTTTCAAAGAATTTAGATCCGCACTATACTTGTGAAATACTCGGAGCACTTTTCTATCGGATCCAACACACAAATAATAACTACAAGATGCTTAATCCTTAATTCAGGCTGGCGACATAAAATCCGCAACAATTTTGGCTTTGGAATCGCTCTCGATCCTCAAACTAAAATAGATTTTGTGGGAACACTCTTTTCTCTCTCCGAACAGTTCCAATCAAGATCTCATTCACAAGGCATCATCATGGTGAAGGGTGAAAACTCATGATCCGCCTTTAAATTTATTATTGTCAAACCCCTCTGCTGACTTTGCTAACTTTCCAAGGTTCCTGGTGCATGATAACCAAGTCAATATAGTTGTACAGCACATCTTAATGATTAGGGAAGCATTTCTCGCGTGTACTCCTTTCTCCTCTTCTTTATTGGTGGGAAAAAATGATGCCCTCTACATTGGAAGTTTTTTTTAATTTATTTATTTAGAAACCACATTAAAATACAAACCGCCTTTCAATGTTACTTTATACATAAACCATCTTTAAAGTGAGTTTAGACTGTAGTCAATCATTTCCCAGTCAAGTTTTTCACTAAAAGCCTAAAAGCGCTATTAAAATCTCACATTCAAGTCAAATGACTCATTTTGTTAACATTTAGATACAGGTACGAGTCACGTGGCCTGAACATGGTTTTTCTTAAAAGTTATTTTTAGTTTTGTTAAGTAAAAAAGTTAACTTGGAGACAACTGATTGCAACATAAACCCACTTTTAAGACGATTTATGTACAACTTGACTTTATAATACGGTTTCCGTGTAATTATCTTATTTTTAAGGTAGATTTATGTACAAGTTGACTTTATAATACGGTTTCCGTGTAATTATCTTATTTTTAAGGTAGCATCGGGCAAGAAAACCCCATTGAAAGCCATGGAAATCTCCTGCTCCAACTAAAGCCAAGACTTTTGTTTGGCTTGTTGATGGAGACGTAATCTTAATCCGAACCAAAACCGTGGAATTTGGGAGAGAGAACGACAAATTGAGGACTTAAAACCCCAAATAGTAGAGATAATGTAAGGGTGCATTCTGATTAACCAGCAGGCTCAAAGAAGCAAGCATACTGATGATCAAGTGAACCAAGCCAATTTAACTTCTAACTAATTACGACACGCCATAATAAGAGTCATTTTGACTGCATTTCTACTGGGTTCATTGGTTAGCAGCTACCGTGCCAAAAGGTACAACATTTCAACCAAAATCGAAGCAAAAAAGTAATGTGGCATAAACTTGTCTCTGGTTTCGAATTCATCTGTCATTTCTTTGCATATGCGACAGCCATGGGGTTCTGAGGAGTGATCTTGAAACCTTGAAGAGCCTGCATGGCGATGGATGCCTGCATATCGTCCTCAAACTCTACAAAGGCGATGCCTGGCTTTGCTTCGATCATCCTCACCTCTTTGAAACCGGGATATTGCTGGAAGAGGATTTGAAGCATCATGGTTGTTGTCTCGTGAGGCAGGTTTTGGATGAAAAGGATGTTGTTTGGAGCAGTTTCCTCTCGAGGACCTGTCTTTGGTTGGCGTGATGCTTGAGAAGCCTGAATTAATAAAAAATTGTGAGCTAAAACGGGTAAAAAATGAGTGTAGCAGAAATGAGAGAGTTACAATGGTCCTGCTGATATACACTCAAAGGAATGATAAAGAAATGAATGCATTTGTAGGTGATTAAAGTTTGCTCCAATTGGATAAAATGAGAGACTCGATTGAGACGGTTTGGCCATGTATAAAGAGGCCAATAAATGCATGCACCAATTAGGAGAAAGTGATAAGATAGGCAGTTAAGGGAGCAAAAAGGACTAGAGGATAAGAACTCGACTAGAACTATTAAGTACAATATGATAAGAATTAACTTTAATAGAGGAGATGACCCAAAATAGAAATGAATGGAAGATTAGGATCTCATCAAAATAGAAATGAATAGAATATTAGCATTCACGTAGCCAACCAGAATTTTGGTATAAAAGCGTACCAAGTGGACATTTTACCCTTTAGGCAATATAACAAATTTCAAAAGTCAAAGGATGCCTGAAACAATAGGATTGATGTGGAGACAACTACATGCCTATATAGTGATTCTTCATCTCCCATATCAATAGTTAACTTGTGATAATAATGTCTCAAATACACTTTAATAGCTGTAGCTTCAAGAGATGAATGAGCTTGAAGTTGTTACACAGTACATAATATGGCAGGAAGAAACTTACAGAAGGCCCTCCATTTTGAGCATTTGCACCATTAGCACCAGGACCAGACTGCTTCTCTTCCTCAGCTTTGCGTCTTTTATCAGCAGCTACAAGAAAAGGAGTAATGAATTATGCGTGCATAAATGAGCAGATCGTAAGGAAAAAGGAACATAAGCAGAAAGTCTGGTTCTTTTTCTTCACTTATTTTCTAGGAGGAACTTCTTTGTTAGAGGAATATTTGAACAGCTTTCTAAGATTTAATCCAAATACTTAATGATTTTTAAAAAATGTCTTCATGGAAGTTCAGTCATGACTCCATGTTCTAGCCTCTCACGGTAAAAGAAACTTCAGTCGGTTATTATAATAAGGCATCCAAAATTCTCTTTTGACCTTACTATGTGTCAAAGAGTTAAAGAAGGTCCTTACCAGCTTCTGTAACATAACTAATCCCACCTTTCATAAATCTTAGATATAATATCCCAAAAGCATATATATTTGAATTGCTGGTTAGTACACTTATATTTTCCTATTAATTCACTAGAATGATGAATCATGCATCAAGTTGCCAGATAGAAATTAGTGCAATCAACAAATTTTGACACCAGTTTACATTTTAAAGGTCAAATATGTTTATGAATTATTGTTATCCTTAAAGGCTTCACTATATAGAACAGAAGCCAAAGTTGGGAGAACTCAACAAAAGAATTGAGCTTGCTATCATGGCAGGCCTGAAAAGCAATACCTCCATTGTTAATGTCAAATACTACTATAGGGAAGAATAAGGGAACAGTTTCTTATGACTCGCTCTCCAAGAGTAGGGTACCAACTAATCTCAAAGATCTGGTCTTGCAACTTCATGAATCATTTATTTGCTTCAAGAAAGATAAGGTTCATTTGTCAACATGGATTGGTATTTGACTGCAAGATAAGAAGTAATGCTCCAAGAAAGATAAGATTCATTGAGTCATTTATCGACATGAATTGGTATTTAAAATGCAAGATGAGTAACCGATCAATGCTCTTGTGAACAATCATGCCATGTTGGATGTGGTGCCACTGATTCAATATATATTATGAGTTATTATGACAGAACCAAATAAGATGTGACACAAAATTAAATATAATGGATCTTTTCTTTTCATCATGAACATGGTCAGGAGAATTCTAGACCCTCATATTGCGATAGAATGTAACAAAATAACCGAGCTTAAAAAATGATTAATTTTGGTCCGTTAAATTCGGATTGCACCTGATTTCATGCTAAGAGTAAATGTCCAGGAAATCACGTGAAACAAAATAAATTTAGTACAACACCATTACCACTCTTATCTACAGAGATATTCAAGATGCAGTATCTAAAATTTCCTAGTATAATGCATTACCTTTTTCTTCTTGCCTCTTCTTCTTTTCTCTTGCAACGTACGTACCATCTACCTTTGCAATACAGTCTGACTTGGTTTTTGCATATTGAATCCTCTGCAGGAAGTAAAAGTTAAGAAAATGTGCAGCAAGAAATATCAGATTAAGTACTGAGTTTGCCATCTAAAACAAATGCTGAAATAAGTAGCTTCCACACAGAAAGAAACTCGCAGCTGTAAGATTAAAGTGGAACCATTAAAAGGATCAACTTTAAGAACATGAAAGACATGCTTCCCAGCACATAAATGTATTGCAAGTACGCTGAGCGACTGAAGGTCTGGGACCAAGAATACTCTATGTTGTCAAAAAGCACAAAAGACTACTTGTATACATGGTACGTGTTGTGCTGAAGTCTTCCTTTAAGATGGTTCCTTTTCAAATTCCTCTAGTATGCACTTACTAAATAACAAATTAAAAACTGATGGTTAGATAGTGGTTTAGCATTATAGTTGACATAACACTACGTCCAGCAACTAAAAATAGGTAAATTGCACATAAAAAAAGAAGATTTCGTGTGCCCCAAGAGACCATTTTCTGCCAAATCAAATGTAAAAATTACTCATAGTAGGAGTAGAAGGAAAAATTGAATATATCATAGCTTAATAACACATTCAGTTATCATAGAAAGCAATAAGAAAAGAATATAAATAATTGAAGTCCAGAAAACACACCATTGGTTTGTCATAGAACGGAAAACTTTGCATTTGCCTAACTGCCGTACTAGCAGCTGTCACTTCACTAAACACAACCCATGCTTGCCCTCTAAGTTTCTGTGTTTTGAGCGACACCACATCGAGAATCCTTCCATATTGAGAAAACAGTGCATAGAGGGACCTCTTCAATTCTGAAAATTTTTAGAGAAGAAAGAAAATGTCGATCATACAATGGGAGTAGTAACTAGTTGGATGAAGTTTGAACCAAGGTACTCATTCCAAATTCAGAGGAAGTTCGCTATAGATATACAAGAATAAACCAGAAAACAATTAAAAATCAATCCATTCAAAAGAATCAAAACATTATATCTCAAAAAAGTATAAAACCGACCGACCACGAATATTTGTAAAGATGATACCTCAGATTAATAAAAAAACGCATCAACTTATAGTGCAAGAATTATATGTTACCATCATAATAGATAACCATATAAAGGTAGCAACAAGCGAAAATTACTACGAAGATAAACACTACATAACAAGCTAGAATGGAATTCTAAAGACATGTTTCAAATCTACTTAGCTAGAAGCATTGACCAGGAACTTCTATAAAAATTATAGATAGAAGGTGATGCATATGCAACATAGATCAGTGAGCTTAAGATGTGCGAAATTGAAGATGTGCAACTGAGACCAACAAGATTAAGAGGAGTTTATGAAATATAGATCAATTAGCTTCAGATGAGAGAGATCGGAGATGTGCAATTGAGACCAATGAGGTTTAAGAGTCTTAAGACTTAAAAGAGTTATAAGACAGCAGCACACTGAGAGACAAAGGACCAGCTCTAACCAAACTTAAATGAGCATGGATTCAGGCAGCAAAAACGGATATGAAGGTTGTCAAAAAAGAAAATCTGATGGCCTATAATATAACTGAATTGATACACAGGATCATGTACCCAATAGTTCCAACACCAAGTATTGAGATTAAAGGCTTAGTTGTTGTTGTAGTGGATATCAACCTAAACGAGCATGGACCGAATAATTAGAAAGGGGAAAAAGGCATAGATGGTTTTCAACCCAAAGGTGAGATGAACCTTAAAATAGCTGAATTGATAAATAAGAATTCATGCACTTGATGATCCCAACCCAAGTATTCCGAAGAAAGACCAGACTATAGTTTTCCTGGACCTAACTGTTAGAGTTAATACATTAAGTTATGGATATTTGGGTATAGATCGTATTGGGTTATCTATCCGTATCCATCTTGTTCTTGTATATAATCTATTATGCTCATGAATAAAACTATGAAATTACCCTCCTATTTTATATCATGGTATCAGAGCCCAGCTTGTGAAACCTTAACCTCTTCCTCACTCAATCCTAGCCCTCCATCTCAAGATCAACCTAATATCAACCATCCAATCCACAAACCCACAGAATACCCATAACTTAATGTATTAAGTCTTAACAAAAACCAAAACGAGCAGGTGGTCAATGTAATAGAGGAGATGGAGCTTAATAGAGCCAACATGAAAAACAGGATTCATGGCTAACCCTAACATGGTCCCAACCCCAAGTATTTGGCATAGAGGCTTGATCAATGTGGTTGTTGTTTTAGTCAGAAGTAACGCATGTTAAGCATTTCTATCAGAGATGTCGATTAAATCATTAAATGGCAAGTAAAACTATTTTGTTTTTTACAAAATTAAATAGAAATCACTTAAATTGATACAAAGATGAGACCCAATTTCATATTATCCAGTAAACCATCAGCTTGCGAGGGAAATCATCACTTAAGAATTAGATTCTTCCTAACTAAAATACCACCTCCGTGTTTCATTCAGTTGGCTAGTTCTCTAAGCAAAATTCAAACTCAGACCCCTAATTACACTCAAACCCACTTGAGAATCGATAAACATGCAAAACAACTCATACCCATTTGTGCAATAAAGCGTAATTCAAAAATAAAGCTGAAACCAAAAACCCCCACACTTGAAATTTTAGGATACTTGTAAAAAATTGCCCATTTTCTGGATGAGGACCAATTCCAAAATAACACTAGTTATAAACGATTAACGAGCAGGAGGAATTTAGATATGTGACCAAAAAAACCCTAGTTTGAACACTGAGCAAGAATAAAGCACGAAACTTTTACCTTCTTTCTTGATCTTTTCGTTGAGATTTCTAATGTAGATGGTTTGATTCGGAGGAATGTCGCCTGAGAGCATCATCGTAATCGAGAGAAACAGAGAGAGAGAGAGAGAGAGGCGCCCCAAAAAATAAAACTCTGCAGAGAAAAAAATTGGTCCTTCAAGCTCTAGGGGTTCTTTGTCGGTAGCAGGTATGATAACAAATTGGGCCGGCCCAAGGCCGTACGATGCACTTTGGTTTTATTAAGTTTCATTCGAGTTTCACCCAACTTCTGAAAAATTAGTTTACAAAAGGGTTAATCTCACATAACACCCCCCCGCCCTCCTAAGAATTTTGGAGCTGTTCCACATAACTGTGTTAAACTTTGTTTATCTCATATAATCTTCTAAATTTTGGGTTGTCTCGCAAAACTCCTTGAATTTTCACCATTTCTCATTGGACCCACTTTGTAAATAACTAAAATATCTTTGAAAGAAGTAGACGTAATGATTGTATTGAGGAAATTTTTGAAATAGAATCCCACTAGATTGTGTCAATTTGATCAATGGGCTATTATCCAACTACCATATCAAGAGGGAAAAGGGAAGAAGAACCAACAGAAGTTTAAGGGAAAAAAAAAATCGAACTAATTCCATATACAATTCATATCACGGGCAAAAAATTACAACCATCACCTCCAATCATGAATCACTATGTACATTTTAACACTGATGAAATGGTTCGCTTCGGTGCTTGATGCATATTGGCGCGTTTCATTCAAGAATTCCACAAAGAATCCTAGCATCTAGATTATAATCATGAAGAGATGAAAGTGCATCTATATGATTCTCTTCATCACTGTATTCGACGGAGATAACTTTAAGAGAAGTTGTAGGTTCTCCCGCCTTGGTTCGTCGATCTCTCTTCCTATCCTCCAACGTCTTCTTCCCTTTGCCATTTCGGGCATTGTCCGTCGATGGTATAGTAGACGACCTCCTCTCTCTCTTCATCCTTGCCATAGCTGGACGACGAAGAGGGGGAGGAAGTTGAATCGTTTGAGGCAATGGAAGAGGAAGAAGAAGATCAATGCTAGGAAGAAGCTGAGGAAATTTCAATCTCCTAATTGATTAACCTGTAGGAGCCTTAATATAGAATTACTATTCTATAGAGGTACATGAGGATTTGCTCGTTGTACAGCGTACAATAAGTAATTACTTAGGGCCTGTTTGTTTTGAGTTTTTGGGAGGGGAAACCCTGCCACAATTCTGACTTTTATCAGAATTGTGGCAGTGTTTCTCCTCCTAAAAGAAAGAAACAAACGCACCCTTACGGTAGCACAAATATGTGATGTTTATCTCCATAGTGACTAAGTTGTTGTTTAAAATGCACAAGTTGAGTAAAAGACAGAGTTCTAATCTTAATCCCCATGACTGAATGCAAACTCGAGTTTCTATGATTAATTTTTTCTATATAGGAAATCTTGAAGGGAGTACTCCTGTAATTAATATGGTCAAGAAATTCCTTTCACTAAAGTTCAACAAAGTGCATAAAAAGAATCTAGAAGAAACAACAATTTGCATGCCATTTTATCTCAATATTGACTGCAAATCTGTTGGGATTTTGTCTTTGATTCTGTGTAACTTCATGAGAATTAGATAGGGTTAGAGTTCTATCATGATTAGGAGTTTGGGCTCTATCATGATTAGGAGTTTGAGTTTTATCATGATTAGGAGTTTGAATCATATTCTAATTAGGAAGTTAGGCTAGAGATAGGGTTTTGGTTTCCCTATATATATTCTTTTATTGGTGGAGGAAAAACCATGAAGAAAAAGTAGAGATGTAGTAGATGAGAGAGAGAGGGGGTTTCGTAGTCTTTATCCGTGCAAAAGATTACAATGAGTGAGCTTTGGAGAGAATATGAGAGTTGATTATGTATGTGAGGTTGAGAGATTGAGAGACGAGAATTGAGTGGTTCCTCTTGTAGTTCTCCCTGATGCATAGTGAATTTCTCGTATTGTTGTCCCGTGGACGTAGGTCGAAGTTAGTCGACCAAACCACGTAAATCTCGGTGTTTTTTTATTGATTGTGGTTGTTCTATCTTATTGATTGGGGTTGGCTTCCGAGTTGCGCATATCGTGGTAGACGGGGAGACTGAAATTCCCTAACAAGTGGTATGAGAGCGAAGATGATGGATCCGGGAGCGAGTTTGAAAGATAGAAGACGACGCCGTGCAAGATTGAAAATCGGCGTTATAAGAATCAAGATGAAAAGAAAAAAAGGAAAGGTTACTGTAGCAGAACACTGTAGTGCGGCGGGCACTGTTCACGCGGGGATCCGACGGTCCAGATTGATTTGTTAACCGATTGAGGATTTGGCGACGGATTTTGGTGATCCAGGAGTCGTTCCTAGGGTTTTTCGACGTGCTGAATTCGTTTTTGACGTCAGTTTTATCAAATTCAATCTCTATAGGGACTGATTTGAATTTTGATCGTGGTTAGAGAATGATGACTTCTTCGGATCCGAAGTTTGATATTCCGTTATTTAACGGCAAGACAAATCTGATGGTAGATAAGGAGCAGGAGTTGGTTGGTATGTATACTTGAGGATGACAGTGCCAGATTAGGTGGAGCTTGCAAGAAAGCACGACCGAGTGACACACATGGAGATGAAGATGGTGGCCTTGGACTTGAAGATGGTGAGCGCTCATATTCAGTCCAAGCCAAGTAATGGAGGAGATAAAGGCATCCGGCTCGTAGTGTGGAGTATGAGAGGTGCACTGATATGATTCGAGACGAGCGATGCAAGTGGAGCACAAGGACAACAAGAGAGGTGGAGGCGTCACAGCGAAGCAGAAGATAGTGAGGATCATGAAGGCGTCCAATTGGGAGTGCAAGTGTTCTGATTTGAAGTGCGAAAGAAATAAAAGACTCTAGCGAGAGAGGCAAAGTTTCAAGACGATGATGGTATATCTTCAAGGGAGTTTGGGAATCAAATCCAAGGTGGAGATTGTTGGGATTTTGTTTTTGATTCTTTGTGTAACTTCATGAAAATTAGATAGGGTTAGAGTTCTATCATGATTAGGAGTTTGGGTTCTATCAACCACGTGGACTGCCGAGCTACAAGTCCTACGACACAGGAGCTGGATTCTCTAAAAAGCCGATGGTCGTGGGTGGCCAAGAGGGCCCACTTGGAGACTTGGGATCATGATTAGGAGTTTGAGTTTTATCATGATTAGGAGTTTGGGTTTTATCATGATTAGGAGTTTGGAGTTTGAATCCTATTCTAATTAGGAAGTTAGGCTAGAGATAGGGTTTTGGTTTCCCTATATATATTCTTCTATTGGTGGAGGAAAAACCATGAAAAAAAAGTAGAGATGTAGTAGATGAGAGAGAGAGAGAGAGAGGGTTTCGTAGTCTTTATCCGTGCAAAAGATTACTAGGAGTGGGCTTTGGAGAGAATATGAGAGTTGATTATGTATGTGAGGTTGAGAGATTGAGAGACGAGAGTTGAATGGTTCCTCTTGTAGTTCTCCCTGATACATAGTGAATTTCTCGTATTGTTGCCCCGTGGACGTAGGTCGAAGTTGGTCGACCGAACCACGTAAATCTCGGTGTTCTTTTTCTTGAATGTGGTTGTTCTATCTTATTGATTGGGGTTGGCTTCCGAGTTACGCATATCATGGTAGGCGGGGAAACTGAAATTCCCCAACAAAATCTGCTTTGGGCAATAATCTGTATAAGTGAAAAGAAAGAAGGGGAAAGGGGGAAAAAGGAAAAAAAGAGGCAAAAGATCTGTGTATCAGTAGTTTATCTATCAAAAACTATTTAAAGGTTATGCAGTAAAACCTCAAGAGGTTATGCTGATAAAAAGTGGCCAATTAATCTCAAAAGTTGATATAATTGTTTTGTTACTCAATTTAACACATTTGGTTTCAGATACATAATTTGCATATTCTGGAGGTTCTTTTCCTGGACTATAATCCCTCATCAAAATTCATGGCAATGCGAAGAATGAACTTTCAACCGACTAAAATAAGCACCAAAGCAACGACAGATCCAAACAAAATTCTTGGGGGCGGACTATAAGTATCTACTTATAGAAATAAATAGAACTCGATTCGAAGATGTATAACTTGTGATATGAATGTTTTAACAAGACAATGTCAAAACGATTAGTAGCAGGCTGGAAACATGCACAGATGCTGAAACTTGCACGGCTCATAACTTTTGACTCGGTTATCGGAATCACTATTATAATATGTTTTTAGAAAGCTCTCAACATGATCTACAAAAGTAAGATCTCCAGGAGTGGAGCTGCCCACCCCAGCATCACATGGATCCGCCCCTGCACCAAAGTAACGTCTTAAAATATAAGCCTTTGCATTTATAATATTCTAACAAAAATATATAGTATACAAATTAAAACATCGAGGGATATCAACCCAGATCTCCATAAAACCGAAAGAAGATTTTAAAACATTATTTTTTTATTGTTATTATTATTATTATTATTATTATTATTATTATTTTATTATTTTTTTGTTGTTACTTTATTTTTATTTTTATATTTATATTTTTTTCCCTTAGTGATCTAATCTCTCAGGTGTTCTAATATAGTATCACTTCTAAAGATAACTAAACTAAATATCCTATAAATAATAATTTATATAATAGCCCGACTCCAAAAAATGACAACTTGATGGCAACATCCTATGAATAAAAACTTCTAAAGATTAAAAAAACAAAAAATAATTTAGATTAGCTTCAGCATAGAATTCTTTACCCCGCTTTCGTACTCTCCTTCTCTCTATCTATATAAACCCCTCTCCTCTCCAGAAACTCTAAACCCCCCTCTCTTAACCAACAACAATAAAAATCCTAAACTGTTAGGTCTCGTTTTATGATGATGATTTACAAACCTCATTATTGGTATTAATTGCTTGTCAAGTGATCCTACACAGGATATGTTTTATCAAGTAACTTAGTGACATGAAAAGGAGGATGGATGGATTTGCACCTTAACGATGATATTCATGAGGTCGATGCAAGTTGATGAAGAAGCCTTAAATGCTCAAAGATCTATTCAAGCAAATATCTAACCAAGAAGAGCTTTCAAGTATATATTCAAGAAAAGCTTCATCAACAACAAAACTTAGCAAATATCGATATTCAAGCATTGTATACA